AACGGCGTGTGAGAAGAAAAAATCCGTAAAATTTGTAAGTGAGATCAGCGTTCTAGGGTTGCCATTCATTTTCTTGATCATATTGCTTTTCTTGGTCACAAACCAGGTCACAGTAGCTATAAAGTGAAGCTACGAGGCCGACTGAAGTACAAAACTCAAACATTTTTTACTTCAGGGAATTGTTCTGGAATTTGAGTAAAGAGGATAAAGGATAGCCTCCTTCGCAGGCAACTCTACTCCGTGGGATTCCTGTGTTAAGGCAAAAAAGCTGTCGGAGGGGGAGGGGCTAGGAAGGAAGGAAAAGAAGCAGGGTGAATTCACTCGTCCATACACTTCGATTTTCGGCAGGCTACTGCTCTTGTTCGTTAATTCCTAATCTCTCGACACCAGTTCTTCTCGGTCAAGAATATGAACACAGGAAGACCAAGAAGAGAAAAATTTCCGTTTCCGATGGAGTAGCCTGCGAAGGAGGCTAGATAAAGGAATACTTGGCCACAACGCTCTCGTATGCATTTGACAGACCGCTGTGTTCTCACCGATGCATATTGGATACACTACAGAACAACTGTCAACAATCTCAGTTTCTTGTGAATATCGCAAGACAATTGGATACATATGACTTTGAATTGAACTTATAAGCCAATCAAAGCAATAGAGCAGATTTCGTATGACTGTGCAACGGCACGGATCACAACACGGACACGGCACGGCACGGCACGGTCACGGAACCTCGCCTTCTAGGATTCCAAATAAAAACTAGAGCCTGACATCAAGGTGTATTCGTGCCCTAAAGGTGGCTTATACAGTACTTTTCAAATTGAGCTCATTTGAAACTTTCCTCTTGTTCGCCTATATGACCAACCATGTCTTTCTCAATTTTCAAAAATTGCTCGCCCGAGTTGACGCTCTAAGCGGGTCTGGTTTAGATATAAAGAATCTACCAAAGGCATGCAGTTCATCTATAGGAACTGATATCAAATGTATTAAGAGTAAAATTTGTGAAAGTGACTCCTTGTTGCTTAGATTTAGCACATGTTTAGCAGCTTTTGAAGGAAGTAGATATATAATATACAATAATTTTTGAAAAATCTATAAAAGCGTCGGTTATACATCGCACGGCAATGCAGACGTGACTCAAATCGTTCACTCTGATAGTCTTAGTTCGTGTGAAACAAAGTAAAAATATGGATAGACTTATTCTAACTAGGCGATCAGCGATCGTTTACATGGGCTTCCTGTGGTATATRACAATCAGTAAATGATATTGAACCCTAATGAAATTAATATTCCTAAGACAACAGCAAAAATAAGATTTCCTTTAATGAAAAATAATCAAACAAGCAATGTACTCCGTAGAATTTCATTGTCAAAGAAGTAATTTATCAGTGTTTGACGAGCCGTTACTTTAAGAGTCGCATCCTTGGCTGTATTAAACACAGATCGATAGTCTTTCAATCCTCTGTTTTTCCTCAGTATAAATCTGTTGACATGTCTTAGATAAGTCCTTGGTGATTGTAGAGCCTGTACTAGTATAAGTTAGCCTTGATAAGCTCCCGGGGGGGGGGACTCCCTAATATCAAAGGGCGGGGGTCCTCGGCGTAGATTGTGAAAATGACCCCTAAAAGGGACCTCTATTGTGAGATGATGGGCGTGGCAGTGCTGAAATTTCAACCCTAAAAGGGACCAATCAATAACAGGTCATTTTGTTTTGGTTTACCGATTTTATTTGTGTTTT